GTTTACAGAGAATGCCCGAAAAAGAAAAAACATCCAGTGAGCGGCAGTTCTGTGGGCGGAAATGCCTTGTTGATGCCAGAGGTCAGAGGAGAATGGCCAGACTGGTTCGAGCTGATAGAAGGGCAACAGTGACTGAAATAACCACTCGTTACAACCGAGGTATGCAGCAAAGCATTTGTGAAGCCACAACACGCACAACCTTGAGGCGGATGGGCTACAACAGCAGAAGACTCCACCGGGTACCACTCATCTCCACTACAAATAGGAAAAAGAGGCTACAATTTGCAAGAGCTCACCAAAATTGAACAGTTGAAGACTGGAAAAATGTTGCCTGGTCTGATGAGTCTCGATTTCTGTTGAGACATTCAGATGTTAGAGTCAGAATTTGGCGTAAACAGAATGAGAACATGGAACCATCATGCCTTGTTACCACTGTGCAGGCTGGTGGTGGTGGTGTAATGGTGTGGGGGATGTTTTCCTGGCACACTTTAGGCCCCTTAGTGCCAATTGGGCATCGTTTAAATGCCACGGCCTACCTGAGCATTGTTTCTGACCATGTCCATCCCTTTATGGCCACCATGTACCCATCCTCTGATGGCTACTTCCACCATGTCACAAAGCTCTAATAATTTCAAATTGGTTTCTTGAACATGACAATGAGTTCACTGTACTAAAATGGCCTCCACAGTCACCAGATCTCAACCCAATTGAGCATCTTTGGGATGTGGTGGAACGGGAGATTCGCATCATGGATGTGCAGCCGACAAATCTGCGGCAACTGTGTGATGCCATCATGTCAATATGGACCAAACTCCCTGAGGAATGCTTCCAGCACCTTGTTGAATCTATGCCACGAAGAATTGAGGCAGTTCTGAAGGCAAAAGGGGGTCCAACCCGTTACTAGCATGGGGTACCTAATAAAGTGGCCGGTGAGTGTATATTTTTAATAGTGTTTTTCCATATAATTTATCAAATGCTTGGAGAATATAGGCTACTTTATGTTCTTAATGGCGTTCTCCAAGGGAAGAGCACCTTCAATTTCTCAAAAATATAATGCTAAAGACAAATCTCCCATAATGTTGCTTTATTAATAACCTGAATCATTTTTCTTGGAATATGATGAATTTGACGGAATATCCTACATAATCTGAGATTATAATCCAGATGGTAGGCCGGACAGAGGGTTGTTCACAGCAGTTCCAAATCCTTCATTGGTTAATTAAAGACCTGGGGCTTTTGACTGAGCAATTAGCCTGGATATTACAGTGCAGGTTTAATGAAGTGAATAGCAGAGGTGTGTGAGTGTGTGCCAGGTACACAGAGCTGGTATGTCTGTAAGTAATCTGACAGCAGGGATCATTTAAAAGAGCAGAACACCAAACCACGTATACAGCTCACTCACATCTGAAAGCTGAGGGCAAAAATTCCAGTGCTGTGTGTAAACCCCTGGAACGAGTGACGTCCCGATATAACTTTGCCCACGTCACTGATGCTGTGGAGTTCCATCAACTGTGTTGTGGTGGTGCCAGATTTCTCTGTCTGCATCTGCCTTTTTTATTTTTTTTCTTTATTTTTTCTCACCTCATCTAATTTTGTCTTTCATTTAATTTTTGTAAATATAATTTTTGGAGACAGAGAGATGCTCACATTGCTTGGGTAAGTTTAAGACTGTTTCACCCTAGAAAATCATGTGGTGCTCACATTAAACACTGTCCCAATGTCCCCAGGACAGATGTACTGCGTTTATATGTTATTAGTATTAAACTTAGGTTCAAAACTTGCTTTACTAATCAAACAATTTGTAATAGTGGTGATAAAATCCTATAGACCTAGACTACCATTCAAATATTATTGCTTTTACTATAATTTTGACCAAATAAATGCAACCTTGGTGAGCAAAAGAGACTTCTTTCAAAACCATTAAAGACATGGGTGTGCTCTTTTGACATCGACTAGTAAGCAACCACATAGCGACCTTCCAGAACACCCTAGCAACCACCTAGAAATGGCCTAGCAACCACTATTTTTAAACTCTCTCTCTTCACCATTTGCTGTAATCCTTTCTTAGTCGATTTCTTCCTCTTCCGCACTCACGTTTTTGTTGGTGTTGAATCCCGTGACAGAGAGGGATGAATCAGTCTTAATAGCAGTAATTTATGGACAGTTTAAACACATTCGTAGGCTGTTTTTAATGAACATTGATGTGTCGTTGCAGCACTTCTAATAAGTGCTTTTCACAGACACCATGCTAAATCAGCTCCTGACAACACCAATCATGTCGCAACAAATTCATGCTCTTTTGCATGTGACTGTTTGATGTCATGCAGACATAATGAGTACAAATTAGCATGTCCACTCCTCTTTTTTAGTACGTGGGACATTGTTACATAAGCAGGCAGGCTATGTTACGAGTCTTTGGAAGCGTGTCTCTGTACTACCGGGTTTAGTCTAGATGAGCAATTGAAAGCAGGCTGCATAGAGTATTTAATCCATGAATAAACTTCTCATTATTCAAGAAACTTAATCTATGACCTAGTTGGCAAAGCAGTTTCATCCCCAGTGTGTTTAGGAGTTGCCAGACGTTGGCGCAGAATGAAAACAAATTCTGTTTGTGTTTTTCAGACCCGGTTGAAAGTCGTCTCATATTCTGGCGCAGAGCGAACGCAGCAGCTATTATGTGTTTAAATATGCAAGAATCTGACCTGTTGCAGTTTGCTCAATTGACTCCGCCCAAAGTCTTGAACTCCTCCGGCCAATCACTTGTAACCACTGTCTGTCTGATTAGTGGAGTGCATGAAGGACAGGCTGGTTCTCCATTCAGCATCTTGGCACAAACCTCTGCCCCCATCATAGGTCCGCTTCCCATTCCCAGATTTAAGGTTCACCATTTTTTTCAATTTGGGGTCTGTTGAATTATCTTTTCAGCCCTTCGAGTGCCCTGGCGAGTTTGAGCCAAGGAGGCCCCACTGGTATAATGACGCTTGGCACAAACACCCTTCTGTTCCTCCAGCCCTGTTCCCAGGAAACAGCACGGCATGCACAATTGCATACCGTGCTTTGCAGCCCAACCACATTCCTCTCGCCGTGGCTGCGTAGCAAGCCGGGTAATGTGGCTGGATAACCCAGAGTTTATCTTCTCAGAGTTCACACCGATTCGTTTTCTGCTTGGTTATTAATTCACATTTTCAGGGCGTAGCGGGGAAGAGCGACGGGGAAGAAGGGAGAAAAGGAGCTGGGGGAACTTGAAGTAATGCCAGCCCAGAGTTTTAAGCATGAAGAGAGCATGACTGTTATGTTAAGCTTCTCCTAATTAAAAGCAAAGGAAAGGGAAGAAAGTAGTAAAAAAAAAAGCGAGATGAATAGACAAAGAGGGCCAGAACTGGTTCTGAGCTGGTCATAGCTGGTTCTGCTGGCTTGCATGGCCTTCCTTAATGGGCCCACTGGTTTGGAGTGTAGGTTCCCTCCCCTCCTCTTTCCCCCTACTTCTGTTTATGCTTTGTAGCTAATGTGATACTAGGGCTCTGTCCTTTCAGACCAGGATTGGGAATACCAGGGGGCCAAATGGGAGCCTGGAGACGCATGTCAGCTTGTGCTTTCAGGACTCCACACTCCAACAGGTCCATCATAAGCAGCCACAGGGAGTCAGGCACCAAAGAAGACAGGAAGAGACCACAAAAACAGCTATAGAGACATCAGGAGCCATATAGTGAAAGGGGAGAAGCGAGAACAACACCTCTCAGTAGAGTCAGGAAAGTGACGACTTATTCAGTTTTACGGTATCGGTGCTAAAGGTTACCGACTGTTTTGCAAAGTTAATTTGGCAGTGGCAGAGATTTGATGGAGCCGTTTTGTCATGCAAGAAGGAAGAAAAACATGAGAGAAATACAGAAAGCCAAAGTTCTGTCTGTCCATTAGGCCTATTAAAGCCTTTTAATTTGATTTTAAAGAACCCCTGTGGTGAAAATCAAGATTTTAATGTTTTTATGTGGTGTTTTGAAAATGCTTAAAGACAAACCATGTGCAAAGTCATAAGTCAACACCATTGCTTAGTATTTTCTCCTTTAAACTGCAGAGAAAAAAAAGAAAAGTCTCAAAAATGGTTTGAAATCGCCAGTGTTTCTGACGTCACACAAACTACCTTGTAACCAATCATGTCAACGTGCCGGCAGGCTTTAGTATATTTTATTAACTATGCTGCGAAGCAGGGGAGTCTCAAGAGAAGCCAGCTATCCCGGTTTTTATATTTAGCAACATAGCGGGTGAATTATGTATATGATGTATAGTACAGTGTTAAGATGAACTATTTGCCTTTCTCCACTGATGTTCTAAATTGTTCAAAGTGTTTCTAGGGATACTGATTTTCTGTAACACCCCCAGAGGCAACGCTGAGAAGAATGCAACTCATGCTTGAGCTTAAAGTAATTTTTTCAAAGAATATTGCGGTGTTTATTATAAATAATTTATTTATGTACATCATCATTTTTTTTAAATTCATGTGCCTTCATAATCTTTAATCAAAAATATTAACTTCTTCCCCTCGCAACGACATTTCTTCTCTGATGACGTGAGGACGGGACAATAACCTCTCCATTACCAACAGCAACCTGTCACTCACATGAGATCGTAGCAATTAGCAAACAACAACAATCCACAGATCCAATCAATTACTGATCTACAAAATCAAGTGCTGCCTTACATTTTTTTCTCAGTTGAGAAGTCATTTCCCTTGGATATATATGTTACAATAGGCGGGGAAATGATCTCAATGTCCGTTTCATGCAGACTTTAAATTCTCAAACATTTCGGAAAGCATCAGCATGTGAAATTGAGTTTGTGTGGACTTACGTATGAGTGTGTTTCGGGCCTTGAGGATCACATTACTATCCTATTTCAATGCCTTACATAATACGTACCTTCACTGCTCCATTTTAGAGAGATGAACAGATCTCCTTAAAGCTAGGATTAATATATACTGTTTTTTTTACATCCTTTTCTTATAGGGAAACAAGGGACAGACACAGTTTCTCTATAGATCTTTCTCTCTAACACACACACACACTTGAAGACTGAGAATAATCGTTCTGAAAGCATGGAGCCTGCCGAGATGAACACTATCCCCAATGGGAAGGGGCACGAAGCTGGTGAAGAGACAACTGCGACTGCAATAAAAAGCCAATCAGAAGATGCTGCTCAGTAAGTATGCGCTCAGGGGTGCACTAGAGTGTCTGTCTAGTTCAGGATGGTTTATTGTCAGTCATCCAATGTGTTCAGTTTTAGTAATACAGTTTAGTAATCGGTTGGTATAAGCTTTATCATTTAGCAGTTGTTAAGATTATGGAATAAAATGTGTTTATGGGGTGCCTTATATTAGTGCATATATCCAGTATTTATGAACATTAGTGTGTGTTTTTGCAGTATCATCCAGTCATGTCATCCTAATAAGGTGAAGCTTGTCTGTCATCACAGTCCTAAATGTCACTGAACAGCACAGTTCAGACATCACTGGGCACATTCAGTAGCACTGATGTTATGCTCTTTCTATATAACTATGTTCAAAGCTCCAATGTGTTTGTGATGGTGTAGCTGTTTATGTGTAGATGTTTTTGCAAACTAATGTATATGGGTGTTTCTTAAACTACAGGAACTTTTTATGTGACGACTATAGATTTTTTTTAAGACCCAGACATTCAATCTACAAACTACTGAAAAACAACTAGTGATGCACTGAAATTATTCCAAGGTTCAAAATCATTGAACTAAACGGTGACGTTTAATTAGCGCTTCTCCGATGGCACGTTTTGAACAGGTAAACGTGAGCTGTGTGGATGGTAGGTCTGGATTGACAATATCGATTTTTCAGTTTTAATGGATCTTCATTTTAATGAACTGTGATTATTTTTATTTTTTTAGTCTATACTGTTTTCAGTTGATGCATGAACAAAACTTCACTGAACATATTTTTTAGCGTGCCTATCGTCCAATACATTTTTGGTATTAAAAATATTGGTGCATCACTATTAACTATTACTGTCTCGATGATCTACAGATTTAAATACTTACTTTTATTTACAGTTTTTTGTTTACACAAAAGCAAAGCTCTCCCTCAGTTGTGGCATCGTTTCAAATACAGCTAGATTTTTTGCCACTAATAAAGTTTCATTAATTAATGTACTTGTTCATAAATAAGAGCATGCCTGAGATGGTAAATCAAGGTAAACATCACTTGTAAAAAGAAGGTTTCACTATTGAGTGTCATTTCCAGTTGAGCTGTAATTGTGTCAGATTATGAAAAATGTGTGACAATATAATTTAATTTTGTGCATTTAAGATACATAAGATGCTATGAAATTTGCCTTAGCAAGACAAAGGAGTCTGCAATTTAATATTATAAATGTTTAAAAAATATATTTTGCATCAAAAATAATTTCCACCACTGAATGTTGTCAAATGCAAAACATAGTAGTGTGAGATATGGTGGAAATTAAATGTTTTGTTGCAGAAAAAAATGACATAACACATTGCTAGTAGTAATAAATGACTAGTGAGAATGCAAAAAGTGTCTTTTGAGGTAATATTTTTTTTCTTTACATGGCCAAAAGGGCCAAAAGTTGAAGAAACACCTATATATAATTTTATATGCAAAATAAAATCACCCTGCATGTAGAAGAACTGCCCACCTTCACCCTAAGGAAATGACAAGTTTCTCAGCTAGACATCACTTCCCCCTGACTGTGGCCACATACCTTCATCAGTGTGTTTAACTAAGGATATGTTCATCATGATTTCCTTGTCTCTTGTGCTTTCGTGGATGCGGCTCCTACACTGCTCTTTAGGGAACTTGTACCAAATAGCACAGAAAATGTCAGGTACGTCATGCAGAGAGCCGAATTGTTGCAGACAAAAGTTTTTGTCTGCAGCTACAAATCATGCATCTATAATTAAAGCACCCACCCTCAGTTACTGTTTTGGTGGTGTTAACTCTTTCTGTTGATGCACTGCCAAACAAGGCAATCCCTCATGGCTGTTATATGTGTTTTTAGTACTGACAGAACTCCAGGTAATGCAGAGGCAAACCTGCCAGAAAGCTCAGAGTTCCTGTCCAATGTAGATGACAAGAAAACCCCTCGCTTCACGGATGTAAGTTGAACTTTTGGTAAGATTTAATGTATAGCAATATGTGACAGTATGTCTCCTTCAGATGAGACCATAATGTTGTGAAGTGTCTCAACTGTGAATGTGTGGACTAACTGCTCTGTTTTTCTTCTTGCTTAGTTTGAGGGAAAGACTTCTTTTGGGATGTCCGTCTTCAACTTGGGAAACGCCATCATGGGAAGTGGAATTCTGGGATTAGCGTATGCCATGGCTAACACGGGCATTGTCCTCTTTATGTAAGTAACAGTTTTAGGTCAAACTCTGTATTCAGATTTTTGGGGTAATTCCTTAAAGTGCTTTTTTAAAGGTTCCTTGTTTTGGGGGTCTTTTACAATTGGTTTACATGAATCCAAGGTCAAAAAACACTTTAAATCTCTCATAATATTCATTGCAGAATCACCCCTTTTCTCAGAGTGTCCGAAACGGTTCTGTAAAGGATTCAGCCTTTCTAAACCCTTCTTTTCTAAGAGCCTACTCTGTTCTTATTGGTCAGATGGCCCAGTCTGTTGCTGTCACTCATTTGGTATTTTGTCACGGATTTTCTCTGGCCGCGCCGCTCTCACTATGGAACCGGCAGGAATCAAGCGCGTCTCCCCTGGAGTTCTTTAATGGAGAACAGATCGTTCATTTTGAGCTAGAATTAATATGATCCTTGTGCATTTGATACATCATAAATCACTCTGTGGGGACACATTAAAGTCAGAAGTCATAATAAATTATCTTTTATTATTGTTACATTTTTTTATACTATTAAAAATAAAGGTTCCTAAGGGGGTTTTCACAGCGATGGAGTAGAAGAGAGTTTTACTGAAAAGATCCTCAAAAGACACATTTTCTAAGTGTAAAAAACATAACTTAAAGAACCTTTTCCCACTATAAAAAACCTTTTGTGCACTGGAAACGTTCCATGTATATGTTAAAGGTTCTTCATGGAAACATAGATGACAATAAAGATTTCTATTTCAAATAAATTATGTTCTTTTGAACTTTCTATCAAAGAATCCTGACAACATTGTATCACTGCACAAAAATATTAAGCAGTACAACTGTATTCAGTATTGATAATAATAAGAAATGTTTCTTGCACATCAAATCAGACATTAGAATAAAGGATCATGTGATACTGAAGACATTTGAACAGTTCTGTAAGTCGATGGGATTTTCTATAGAAGTTATTAGGTTAAATGTTATAGACCTGTAAGAAGCTATAGGTAGCTCATGCATTAACTCTTGCACATTCGCTAACAATAGTTCATGTAATATAAACATCATGTTCAAGCTCATTGGCTAATCTCTTTAGCTTTTCATAGGGTTTTTCTCAAATCTTGCTTCAGTTCTTATGCAGTGTAAACATCACAGCTTCCCTAAAGTTTGTTAGTTGTCATGATCTGGGTTAAGTCCCGTTCTCTGCACTGGTTCCCCTGCTGTATTAATCCTCCAGTAAAGCAGCCTTTATTAGTAAAGTCAGATTGCCGGGGAGATTTGTGTCCTCACTGACCTTCAGTAGAGCTGAGCGGGCTGCACCAGGAAACTTATGTTGCACGGGAGTTCCGCGTTCACTCCAGGCACGCTGCATTACTTTTGTTAACAAAGAGAATGATCTAATGATCTGTGCTACTTAACATGGGCTGTGCATGCTTTATGAAAACCAGTCTGGCCTTTTAATCTGGGTTAAGCAATGTACAGAGGAATTTTTTTTTTTTTTCTGAAAGGGCTTTGGTTTGAGCTGTTTGGTGTGACTGGGGTTCTGCGATATTTGGCTCACTTAAACTTTCCGTACTCTCGATTTCTGCGCATGTGGTACCTGTCTGATCTGAGAACCGTGTTTCTCCAGTGCTGATTGTGGCTTCAGGCTACACATAAATCAATCCCAGACACAATTTAATTAAACGGCACTAATATTCCTTTCAACAATACTGCAGCTCTTGTGGATGAATTCATAAGGTTTATGGTAAATGGACTGCATTTATATAGCGCTTTCACAGACCCAATGGCCACCAAAGCGCTTTACAATTTGCCTCACATTCACTCACTTATTCACCGACGGTGGTGTCAGCCATACAAGGTGCCATCCAGCTCGTCCGGAGCAGCTGGGGTTAGGTGTCTTGCTTATGGACACCTCGACACTTGGTCAGGTAGAACCGGGGATTGAACCACCAACCTTCCGGTTTGTAGACAACCTACATGAACCACTGAGCCACTGCCACTGTATTTATAGAAATTGGTGTATATAGATGAAGGACAGATTCTGAAATGTTTATGTTGGGTTTTGCCTGTATAAGCTGTGGTTTGACTTCAGGCTTGATTTTGCTCTGTCACTTTGAATCTTGGCAGCAGTTCCCTAAAGGCAAGAGTAGATCCACATCTCCCAGAAATGCACAACATCACAAAACAAGGATGTCTCTTTAATATCCCACATCACATAACAGTGTGTGGAGTTCCTTTCCTTATTTTCTTCTAGATAGGAGTGACTCATGCTCAGATTTTTCTCCTGAGAAAAAGACCACAGTTAAATTGTCTCAGTTTCGCAAAAGATTTCATCATATTATCATCAGAAACCAAAATTACCAATTAAATTTTTTTGGGAAACATTTGGGACTATTATATCACGTAAATGAAACGTAAAGACCTGCACGGGTCTTGTTTGGTAAACCTCACCCGCAATATTTAACAGAACACCAGACCCGTTATCCGACAGCAGCACTAATTTAATTCCGTACCCGACCCGACCCGACCCGCTTGACATAAAGACCGTGATCCAAACTGCTCCCGCATTAAAGGGACACTATGCAGGAATTCCGTTTTTGTCAAACAGCGACCCCAAGAGTCGCTGTGGAGTACTTGTATTTAACGTTACTGTCGTAAATACCTTTACTGTCTATGGTAAATACCACTCACGCAGAGTGTGACATGGCGTGACGTGTTACATAGTATACAATAGTACATTGTGTTTAATTTGTCGTTTAATGAGATCTAATATATGTTGTTAGTGGTGAGAATTTTCACGTGATTAAATACATAGATCCGACAATTAACCCCATGTACTTTAATGGTCCAGTGGCAGAACTTTTGCCAAGTGTGTTAGAGGTTCTGGGTTCTAATCGGCACTAGTAGTATATAGGGGTGGGAATCTTTTACCATCTCACGATTCAATTCGATTCCGATTCTTGTGGCCACGATTCGACGATTCAAAATCGATTTTCGATTCAAAAAGATTTTCGATTTAAAACGATTCGATTTTATCCATAATGATTTCTAATCGGGTTTCTGATCATGATCTACTCTCATCTGCTTTGCTATACAGAATGACAAACGGAGACCAGTGTTTCCTCTAGGATTTTTTCCAGCTGTGGTGGCAGGCCCATTTCGCCAGGGGGAGGGGGCGTGGCCCATGAGTGATATTCCCATTGGCCACGCCCCCTTACCCCAGGTGTTTAAACCTCCCCTAAGCATTATAACATTATAATAACATGAAAGGCTCGAATAAGAGCGGCAAAGCGATTATGCGCATCCCGTGCGCAGAATGATGCACTTGAAGCAACGTGAAGTCACAGCGCGCAGCGCTCCGGATTGAAAAGTTCAAAGCACAAAGCGAAGAGATTATATCTGTCTATCTATGCTTAATGTATTATATATATGCAACAGTTTATTGAGCATTTTCTTTTAACAGTTTTAAATTTCAGTTACAGTGCGCATGAAGAACAATTCATAGCGCTCTCCAGTGCTGTAATCTAACAGACACCCGGGAGAAAGGATTATGATTTAGAAAACGCTATAACGCGACGCGCTGTGTGAATGCTGAATGGAGAATGACTGAGGAGAGATGAGCTTCCATTAACTTTAACTAACGACTTAAATATTCATTTTACCTCACATTATGCTATTGAATGACTTTAGAAGTCTTGGAATATAGTGCGAACACTTTATGGTGCTTTACAATGTTTTTTATGCCTTTAGCTTAACAATAACGCAATGGTATACACATTAATATCGGACCTCACTGAGAAGCTGCAGCCGTGGCGGGATTATTTTAGGTGTGGCGGCCGGCCACGGCAGAATGAATGTAGAAGTATCATATTTAGAAGTATCAGAAGCTTCATAGAAGCATCCATATTTGCTTCCTTTGATTTGCCGCTCACGTTCAAAAACCGGCTGCGTGCATGACGTCCGGACGTCCCGTATAGGCTATAGTTACAAAAATGGAGGCGAACAGCCAGCTGATTTTATTTATTTATTAAATCGATTCTTGGACATTTCAGATTGATTCTGAATCGTTGCAAATGAGAATCTAGATTTTCTTATGTAACACAAGCAATCAAACTAATTATGTTTTTTTAAAAAAAATAGACACACAGCCCAACATGTTAATAATTACATTTAAAACATTTCAGAACATGTATCCGTCGTGTAAACGATACAACATTTTTGCCTACATCATGTGAACAATCTCCCCATACAGGGTATTGCAGGCTATTTTGAACACATTATGCACATTTGTTTAAATCATAAAACATATAGCCAAATATGAGCCTTTACTGTCATATAATATCAGGGATATTTTAGCAGATTCACTCTGCTTTTAAATGCGGTTGTCTTCTGATACTCTGCAATGTATACGTGACCGTTGATCCTCTTAGTAGCATGAAAGATAAAACTTTTATTGAAATTGCTAATAGATTATATACAGAAAGAGTGCAAAGAGCGCTCCCTTAATGACTGAAGCTGTCAATCACTTCAGTTGCAGCACAAACGCTGTGCGCTGCACAAAATGCTCAACGCTGCAAATCGTGTTGTAATTAGAAAGCAAATAAGCACGGGACTATTTGAAAGCAGCCGCTTATCAGTGGGTACTGAATTGAGTCGAAATAGTATTGGCTATTAGACCCTCAGTCTGCCCATGCCTATTGATTCCCAACCCGCACCCGCAAATGACCACGTAAATATTATTCCACACGTTACATCAAATATTAGCGGTTCATGAAGCATAACTAAAACTGATTGTCTTTGAAAGAGCAGCTCTTTGAGAAAGATTATGACAAACAACAAATCCTCAACTTTTGCCTTGAAATTAGTCTTTCTGTGGTTTATTTGGAAATGTAATTGCTCAAGCAAAGGAAATGATTTAATGTTTCTGGAATAAAAGACATGTTCATGAGAGACAGTAGGAGCAAGAATTGTGTCATACGAAGAAGTTATGGCAAAAAAAAAAATGAATGGAATATCTGATATGATAATTTGCTGTATGACCATGGTTTATTAAATGTTCATATATTCTTTCTCCATTAAAATAATTTGTAATCGCCTCAGTGACACAGTGGTGCTGGAGTCTCAATTAACAGTGCTTGGAGTTCATCCACTTCTTCCTCCATTTGCTGAAGAGGTGTTTTTACATTGATCTGAAAACTGATGAAGCCACTTGGATGAAAGTTCTTCAATAAATGGAGAAACACGTCCAGATGCTCCAGAGTAAATTGTGTAAGATACTAAATTAACAGTAATTTGTCTTCAGGTTCTAACGAGGCGTTCTAGCATATATCACTCGAGACCGGTCTCAATCTCAGATTTAACTCTCTTGTGGTGAGCTCACTGACAAAAAAATCAAGGTGACAAAATCACCTAATATGGCAGATAGGTTGAGAGAAATGCTGCTGAGTATTAATACATTTCATTCTGTGCTGAAATTAATCACCAGAAAATGTTAATTCAATAAAAAAATAGTATATGATCATTTTATATTAATATATAATGTTTTAACTGCACTACCGATTAAAAGTTTGAGGTCATTAGACTTTTATTTTTGAAAGTAATTCATATTTTTATTTATCTATCAAGGACCCATTAAATTGATCAAAATTGACAGTAATGACTTTTATAATGTTAAAAATATTTCTATTTCAAAATAAATGCTGTTCTTTTTTATTTATCAAACAATCCAGAAAAAAATTAATCCCGGTTTTCGTTATTTCATTTATTTTATTATCCATTGATAATGATAAGAAATGTTACTTAAGTACATTATTATTATTATTATATACTGTTATTAGCGTATTAGAATGATTTCTGAAGGATCATGTGATATCAGGACCAAGAGGGTCCTCACACCATCGGTGCCCGGGCCCTAATTACATTTTAAACTATATTAAAATAGAAAACGGTCATTTAAAATATATATATATATATATTTTAGTGTTTTTAGACTATTTTTGATCAAATAAATGCAGCCTGGGCAGGCAAAAGGAACTTTTTCAAAAACAAATTGTACCAACTTTTGAATGGTATATTGTATATAAATATTCACATATATTTTAGATATTTTCAATAAACATAAGAATACATAAAGTCACAAATATTGTAGATAGATAGATACATAGATAGATTGATTGATTCCATTCTTCTGTGCACTTAGACTACATTAAGAAGCTCTTTTGGAGCTTGGATAATATCAAATATTTCATCACAATCAGCTGCTAAAGAAGTTGATTAGATGCTGAACTGATTGCATACTGTCTTCATTCAAGCCAGCTGCATCTATTTACACACTGCAGCTGGTGAACAAATCACACGTTCTGTCTCAGTTTCAGCAGATTTTCAAAGCTTTTTAATCTCGTAATGCTGCGTACTCCAGCGTATTTTGTTATTAAACGCGAGTCATTAGATATACCAATTGTTCTCTACTTAAATATGACTGGAATGTTAGTCAGAGCTGGGAGATTTGATGCTGAATATCTGTTTCAGAGCTCGTGTGAGTCAAGGCAACAGCGTTTTCAGCAGACCTGCACTCGTTGACTTCTGCAGTTCAGCCACGTCATTTGGAAAAAAGAAGGACAAGGGAAAACGTGAGAAAGTGCAGAGTTGAAGCTGAGTGCTTGGCAGAGAGTGGTTAGGCCTGGTCCGTAAAGATGCCAAGACATTCTGGAACTAGGAAAGGGGACTAAACAGGGCATTTTTATGCAAGAAAAAGAGTCAGTAGAGCGTGTTTCGGTTTCACAGCTTGAGATGTTTGTCCAGATGTTGACAGCTGGAGGGTGCCGTTGCATTTATGTGCTATCTTGCCTGTGATTACGCTGTCTAGTATTTTTCCACCTTACTGAGGCTAGAACCTCTTTTCAACTCTTAGCATTAATCCTGTAACTATTAATGTTCTATATTCTATACAATAATATTCATAAATGTAACATATTTATAAATGATTTAGATATACAATGAAAAAATCTAAAAATTAAAATCTAATCTATAATATTGTCACAGATATGTTTAATATCTTGTATATAAAATATTTGTGATTGGATGTTGGATTACCACATGTATGGTTTGATCCTACTACCTTTCAGTTGGACGCAGAATGTTTTTGAACCATGGGCCGTTTAAATATTTTATAAATATGACACGTCACAATGGGGCATGAAAGTGACATTTGGTTCCAATTGCATTTATTTAATCTTTTCTGTCTTTCAGAATTCTTCTCACTGCTGTTGCTGGCCTGTCTTCATACTCCATTCACCTGCTGCTAAAATCTTCAGGCATTGTGGGTGAGTATTTCATTACACTGACCTGAGACCAGTTTAAACTCTCTTCTGTAGTTAAGATTGTTAAATGGATAGGAAACTGTTCCTGAGTTAAAATGAAGAGCCGGTTTAGATAGAGGCATTAACTAGAGACGCACCGATTACAATTTTCTAGGTCGATCCCGATTCCGATTTTTCCTTGAGTTTGACCTGCCGATACCGATTTTAGCCGATTCCGATTTCATTTTTTCAAACCACTTTACAGCACACACAAATATTTATTTTCTATCTTCTCTTTAATAGAACATTTTGCATAGAACATTTTTTGAACAGATAATCGCTATAAAATAGAACTATATAAATTACTCCTGGTGTGGGAAATTCACACACATCTAAAGTGCAGTGTTATGGACCATTTCCTTTTCACATCCAATATCCAACTAAATCAAATTTGATATTTAGCAAACTAAACTTCTGTATGAAAACAGGCAATGACAATAAAATAATATATTAATAACAAATAAAAATCAAATAAATATTGCCTTGCAGTATAAAGATATTTCTCTCTCTCTCTCTCTCTCTCTCTCTCTCTCTCTCTCTCTCACACACACACACACACACACACACACACACAGGCCTATTGCAATCACTTGTACATCAATGGCAAGTTATATTTCTCAAACAGTTCTTCTCCCATCTGACACGTTCAGCCAGGCTAGACAGGACAAGTGGAGCATGTGCAGGGAAACGATTGGGAAATAATAAAAACAAGTTTAAATGGGTAAATTTTCTATAAATATTTTTGTCTCTTCATTTTCTTTCTGACATAGCCTAGCCTACTTCAGTTCATTTTAAAACACAGCAGACATGCAAATTCTGTGCATTTTGGGCACTTTTTGGATAGAATCATATTTATTTTGTCCATCAAAAGTGTGCTTTCACTTAAATTGAGCGCAGCACAAATGGACTCGATCGGCGCCGAAACCCGCGCTTCACTGCTGCTCACGCGACGCCCCTGCTCGACGCTCACACGCTTCTCCGGCTCCCGGTGTGAATGCACTCACTGATTAACATGCACGCCAAACAATAATAAAACGCTCTGCTCCCACTTGCGGTGTGAAACGGACGTAATTCATGAGGTTTCCTACATGTGCGCGTTTCGTGTGCACGTGTAATGCTGATGTTGCGCGATGTTAATCATGCGGCGCCCAAGTGCATTTGACCGGCATAAAATCGGATTATGTCAGACTGACCGGCCGGTCGCCGATCATGGCCGATCACGTGAAAATCGGCCGATTCCGGTCACCAGCCGATCAATCGGTGCATCTCTAGCATTAACTGATGTGACATTGGTTTCTCTGTTGGCTCAGTGACCATCTGCCTCATTCCTCTGTGAGAGATTTTAATTGGCAAGAATATTTCTGGTGTGCATTAGGCTAAAAATAGCCAAGCGTCTGCTGTGCTTGATCAATTGTGGCTGTCATTGTCAGTGCTGCTATATCAACTATATGCCCACGGTTACATTGATGCCCCAAACCCATGTCAACCACATGGTTACCTTTAAAACTGACAAACCTTGCATATACCATGATATACATATTACTTGATGATAGTGTAAGGTTTTGTCCAAGGATGATGAATAGAAAATCCAATAAAATAAAATAAAACATTTTATAATGAATCAATTTAAGTTACATAATAAATCAGAACATCTGATTTGATGAGTAAGACTATATTACTTGGAAGAAGACTTGTTTTTGATATTATTATTATTACTGATATATACTGTTTTTAATGTATTAGTATATTATATTAAATTCATTTACTATGATTATTATTGTTATTATTTGAGGAAATGTTTTTTTTTTGGTGGGAGATTGGTGTTTTTTACTATATTGTTACTATATTAATAGCAATCGGGCGATGTGTGAATTTGATTTCTTTTTGCTTGGTTGTCAGGCATTAGAGCTTATGAACAACTGGGCTTCCGAGCCTTCGGCACACCAGGCAAGATGGCTGCCGGCATTGCAATCACCCTGCAGAACATTGGAGGTGAGACGCTGTCAAAAGTTACATCTCGGGAGACACAATGTATTGCTTTGTGACCCTGTCAAGGGCACAGCACAGTTCTGCAGAGAAAGTGACTGGACGTAGATAAAACAAGTTGGCAAAACAAGGCATTGTCATTCATTTCTCATTTACACTCCAGGTCATCGCTCTGTTATTTTTTTATTCCTTCAAACTCATTGTAACCTTTCCTCCATGTTGTCCTCATTTTCAAAAGCTGTAGCCTATTTCAACTATATATTATTATTATTATGGTCCAACTGCTAGGGCACACCGATTATTTTCAGCATAATTTTTTCTTAAAATGTTGATACCAGTATCCTGCCTATTGTATAACATTATCATTTCTTCTTTTTTTAAAATGTATTTTTCTTTTAATATAGCTTTGCGTTTCCGTCAATAGTTTTTAGAGAGCTTTGTCATTTTAACTGTGATTTGATCTACAGTAGTGGAAAAAGACCCTAAGCTGGTTGCTGTTTGGTGCATGTTTATAGTAACTAAATACAGAACTGATTCTCTTCTTTACTGTGACATTTGCTTCCAGGATAATAACCATAATCCCCTGGAGTACAAATACGTCCTGGATTAGGGTGTTTACTGTATGTGTGTGTTTGTGTATGAATCTCACAGCCATCATCTCTCTTTCTCTCCTCTCATAGCCATGTCCAGCTACTTGTATATAGTGAAGTACGAGTTTCCACTGGTTATCCAGGCGTTTCTCAAGGTGGACAGTACATCAGGGTGAGTACACATGTCTGTGTGTGTTTAAAGTTGTTTTTTAGGGTTTTTAAAAGGTTCTCTGGGAAAACCTGATTTTTAATTTTTAAGAGGCCATATTATGCCTTTTACAATGTTGATATTGTTTTAGGGTCTACTAGAATAGGTTTTCATGCTTGAATGTTCAAAAAAATATTTTTATTTTTCATATATTTTGAAAAATCCCCCACATATTTTGCAGCACCTCTCTTCCTTGTCTGTAAGTAACGCTCTGTTTAGTTCCTGTCTCTATGAAGCCCCTCTTTTCGGAAAGGGCAATTTGCTCTGATTGGTTAGCTGGACTTGAGTATAATTGGTCAACTGCTTCAAGCATGTTTCGGAAATGTCATGCCCCTTACCATAACAGCAAGTGTCAACAAACTACAAACGCAAATCAAACAGGCCTTGCCCCCCTTTTTTTGCTAATGCCTTGAGCGGTAATTATTTAAATGAGGAAAATTGTGACGTACGTTTCCGGAAGAAAACACAATACTACAATCAAGGCGCTTGAGGGAGTTCAGAAACTTTTGATATAGAGAATAACTCCCTTTATAGTGGATTTTGGGCTTTGTAACTTTGCAGAGCTTTTTAATGCTCAAACAGCAACATTACACACTAAAGAAATTGAAAATGTAAAAAAAAAAGCATAAAAGGTCCTCTTTAAAGAGTGTACTGTATGCCAACAAGTCTCATTTGTGTCTATTTTTATGAATATTTAGCTATTTTATTACAAACACCTGAGACAAAGTTGACCACACGACAGCAAAAACGTCAAAAAAATAAAAAAAAATAAAAGTCCTTTGTGATAAGATAGTAAGAGAAAGAATGAAAGAAACCAGTGTGTGGGAAGGTCTACACTAAAGGCCAAAAGGAAAAGGGTTGTTCGATTAGTCGAGTCTGTAAAAGCTCTTTCAATGGCATTAATTGTCCTTTTTGTCAAATACCAGCCTGTCATTGTGAACATGAGGCCGTTAACACTAGCAACCACATCAGTTTTGCCCCTCGTAATGATTACTGCCAATTTGTGAATTTGTGTGAGCTGCGCAGTTTCTGCCAGATCAATAGGTCTCTTAGGATTTTTGAGTCACATAGTAAAATCCTTTGGTATAATTGTGTGTGTGCGTGTTAGAGTGTAAGAGAAGAACTGTGATAGATGGACTAGATTTTGTGAGAACAGGTTTGTATGCATGTGAAGGTCAGATCTATCCTGACTAATACTCACTTGCCCTGCCAAGGAAATGTGTGTGTATGAGTGTGTGACGGTCCGTGACGCAAGCTGGGTGCAGATGCGATGACTGGAGTTCGGCCTGACAGAAGGCTTGTGCACACACTCTGGAGGACACCTCAAAAACTCGACCTTTGGATGCCTCATTTGAATTCCTCACCTCTCCAGGCGAGCGAGGAGGATCACAATGCTGTGATCCTCAATGCTGTGACTGTTCATTTCAGTTTTAGCAGGTAGTGCACATGAATCTACGTGCGTGACAGTTTTTGTAAATTATAACTAGCAGGAAAGTTTTATGAAAGGACCTTAATCATTGCATACATATTTAATTTGACACAAATGAAAACAAGGATGAGAATAGGCAGCCCATTAAGTAGGATGTATTGTAATTATGTGTATATTTTGGTGTCACTCGTTGGCCCAGCAAGACAAACTAGGTCAAAAAACTTTATATGTTAAAAAGTATAAAAAGTTATATGCACAACCTTTCTTTAAAAAAAAAAAGAAGTCTGTTATTCTCACCTATGCTGCTTGTACTTGTTCAAAATTACAGTTAAAACAATAATATTGTGAAATATTATTACAATTTAAAATAACTTTTTTTTTCTACTTTAATATATTTTAAAATGTGATTTATTCGTGTGATGGTAAAGCTGAATTTTCCTCAGTCATGCTCCTTCAGAAATGATTCCCAATAGGCTGATTTGATGCTCAAGAAACATTTCATATTATTATTAATGTTGAAAACAGTTTATATTTTTGTGTAACCCTTGATAAACAAAATTCAGTATTTTTTTGATGAATGGAAAGAATAGAAATCTTTTGTAACACTGTAAAGTGATCAGTTGACTTAACTTAAAAAAGTGAGGAAACCTGTTGCCTTAAATTCATGAAGTAAATAAACCATGCGTAATTTTTGATCACCCTAAAATGTTGAATGGTATATGCTGTAGAAAAAAATTGTAATCAAATTAGATGCTGAAATAAATTAGCTTCTTTTCATCCAAGCAAATTAGTCGACATGATGCTGGAACGGTTAGATATTCAAGTCAGAGATTGCAACACATTTTTAACAGTAGTTTGGTTCTGATATGTGAATGATAGCAATGCAGATACAATATGATGCATTTGTGAAAGTGGCTATTTTCTTCTTTTCCTGTCTTGCTATTTGGAAATTTCTACACTGTATTTTAAGTCACTCTGGTAACAAAGTTGGTTAAGAACGTGCTTGTTAATGTGCCCCATTCATTCTACACCCAGACATGTCCTCATCCAGACTAGACATGGAGGGGTGGGTGGATGGGGAGAAAACTGTTGAGAGGAAGTAACTCACAGTTTATTCAGACGAGTGTTGGCATGCCTTTCAATCGCTGACTCACACTACTGCTCATGTGAAACATCACACACACACACACACACACACACGCACACGGATCCTGAGCCAATCAGTACAAGAGTCAAGCACCATTACCTCCAATGTAGCTCGACCTCTCGAGATAACTTTGTTTTAGCGCTGTTGACCAGCTCTCAGCTCTTAATGTACTTGGTACCATTCACCTCATTGAGATTGCAACGTCTCCACTTAATAAAATTTACAGTCCATTGAACATCCTTGGCTTTATAGAGTCGCTCTATTTTCTTAAATCAAGCTGAATTTCCGGGCAGGGTACAGGCCGTCCATGAGAAGTCTCTCAGTCTTTGTCGTTCAAAGCTTCTTTGAGAGATGCCATGATTTTGGTCTTAATGAAGGGCAGAATAACAAGATTAGCAGCTTAGGGATGAGTTAGAGAGGGAGAGGATTTCCCCTCTAAATTGGCCTGTGATAGTCGGAGCACAAGGTTCCGGATCTAAATAGCCACTCAGTCACACATCACAACACATTTAAAAGAAAGGGCATTGATCACACCCCAAAATAAACACCACCTCCCTGTCCTGGTGTGGTTCAGTAATGTGATTTATGCATTTTACTTTAAGCCATTTAAAGAACATACTGTAGTAAGCACTCTTTTACTGTAATAGCATGGAAATGTAATGCATTAGGTTAATGAGAGAACTGCTGCTCCATTTGCAAATGCACAAGGGGAATGTTAAATGGGTCAATATTTATTATGAATGGCCACTCGAAGCCATACAATGATTTTATTACAATTAATTGGTGGTGTTTGGCCTGAAAAAACTTTAAACGTAGTAAAATCGTTGTATTACACAGCATTGATTGTGTTTATTAAACAGCAGCAATAGCAATATGATTTCAAAAATGGGTACAGCAAAAAAATGTGGGTGGGCCCTCCCTGTCCTTTAATTAAACAAGTACATTAAACTCCGCTTTGCGTTTGGCTTTTCTTTGCTATCCGTGGATTATCCCGCTTATACCATGGTCATTTTCGACTCGAGCATTGACAACTTAAAGCTGTTATTGATGTTTGCAGCGCAATATTTGACCGGAAGGGTAAAACTGGCGGTTATTTTCATCAGTTACGGCTCGTTGAGAAATACAATGTAGCGATTCAGTAGCTACTTTATTACTTAAAGTTGCGGGGCTGCGTTGATAAGTTTCTGTGCTCCTGTTTCCGTGTGTGTAGCGCAATCTCCGCTCTGTGTGTGTATAGAATTAGTATTTATAAATGTTTTATTTTATTTTGTATATATTATATACAAAATATATATTATATATGTATATATTATTTTGTATATTTTTATTTTGTATATATATTTTTTAGTTTTCATTTTAATATTTGTTAAAGTTTTGAGTAATTTTGTCATGTGCATTTGTCATTTTTATTAGTTTTTGTTGTTTTTGCCAATATTTTTATTTAACCTAAAACTGAAATGAATAAAAAATTTAAGCTTAGTCATTTTCAGACTGATCTCATGAAATGGCGTATGTATGACACGCCAATTCGTATTTACATTTTTGGCGTGCTATCAACACGCATAATCGCTTTTCAGCGTGTTTATCAACGCCTTGACCCCAACCCCGTCCCTAAACCTACCCGTCACTGGGGTTAATACCATTTATGAGTCTTCCCCTACCATCCTAGGAAAAAAAATATTGCTCCACAGATGTAAATATACATTTTGCTTCGTTTCGCTCGTACATTTAACGGCGTACACATACACGCAAAAGATGACGGTTAATTTCGGCATGGACACACAAATTTTTTTATTTTTAAGGAAATGTGATTGTGAATTCACAAGAAGTTATCATGTTTGGAAGAAAGTTAACTGTGATCCATTTTATAATTCTTTTTTTTGTGTTTGCCTTTCTTCTTTGATTTATTTGGCAGGGAGTGGTTTGTAAACGGAAACTACCTGGTCGTCATTGTATCATGCAGTGTCATCTTGCCGCTAGCTTTAATGAAGCAGCTCGGTAAGTTTTCTCAAACTTCTAATTCTAATGTCTGATTGCACACACCCCTTGTTCTGCTCACAACTTCCTTTCTGCACAACCACATAATGTAAAATGCTTATATTCATGTTTTATTGAATTGTAAAAGTATTGAATCTTAATAAAGGGTTAGATGTGATCTGGTCAGACTGCTCATAGAAGTGTTGTGGGTAATTGCTGTATACGATCACTGGCTCTCCTCAATCATCACACTGTGTGTTTCAGGGTACCTGGGCTACACCAGCGGTTTCTCTCTCAGTTGTATGGTCTTCTTCCTTATTTCGGTATGTTTGCTGACCTTGTCAAAAAAAAATATTTCACCTATAATGAAAATTGTTTTTTTGCTTACCCTCATCTCATCCCTTTATGACTTTCATGTTTAAAAAATGTGTCCACATATAAACCATTGACAAGTGGTTTGGACTTTGGATCATTATTAAAAAAATTCTCTGGACATTTTGCATCATACAAGGCTCGCAGTGCTTTTTTTTTAGCACTGCACCTTTTTTTTTAGTGCCGTATTTGTGCGAAGAAAACGTGCCAAAAGTGTAAGCGCGGGGAAATGGAAGTCAGAAGAATACAGATCATATTTATTTTGCGTAGCATGAAGCTGCAGTTTCACAATATATGAATTACACTTACGATTACGAATAACGAATACACTTGAAAGGCGATTTACAAATCTTGCACATGCACATTTTATTTACGCTTGCAATCTTATGCACACGTTCACAGATCCTACCCTGCGCATGCGGTTCTTTATGGCATCATACTACCTTCATAATAAACACACTGGTTTGTAGCACAAACAGTTTTAATTTTTTACTGTACTTTGATATTCTTCTTAAAGGGATACTCCGCCCAAAAATGAAAATTCTGTCGTCATTTACTCACCCTCAAGTTGTTGCAAACCTGTATGAGTTTCTTTCTTCTGCTAAACACAAAGGAAGATATTTTGAAGAACGGTTGGAACCAAACAGTTGTTTGGCACCATTGACTTCCATAGTAGAAAAAAAAATACTATGGAAGTCAATGGTGCCAAAGTTCCAATCGTTCTTCAAAATATATTCCTTTGTGTTCAGCAGAAGAAAGAAACTCATACAGGTTTGCAACAACTTGAGGGTGAGTAAATGATGACAGAATTTTCATTTTTGGGTGGAGTATCCCTTTAATTCCCTATAGCGGCTAATGAATCGTAAGTCTTGCACATTCACAGAAAACAGCTTACTTCCATGTTGAAAAATAAGGTGGATAACTAAGTCAGCTTTTTTGTTCGCTCCAGACAGACTCTCAGTCTGTGTTTTAGATGTTACATCGATACGTCAGTAGGCAAAAAGTCATTAAACAATTCATTCCGTCCATTCGAATCGATCCGTTCAATACACTGATTCATTTGAAACTCCACTACTATGTGTTGCTCAGAGACACACCATGTTTAATTCTATTAAGCTTTGTTTGGAACTGTTTTCATTGGCAGATCAGAAAAAGACAAATTATCTGGCAATATATAAGTTACTCAGTATTTACTATTAACAACATGTGCAAGTAAATGATGGGTGTAATTTTCATTTTTGGGTGAACTATCCCTTTAAATCTGTTTCATTCAGATGCCATGTGCTGCTTAGTATTCCCATCATGAAGCAGTACTCTGTTATTTTGACATTTCTTCCTGAATAATGTGCTGAGAGCATGAAAATTAATATTTAATCTTGACACCGTTCCAATTAGCAGTTTATAAATCTTATAGTAAGCTGGGGTTTTTAGGATGTGCTCATCTTTTCCACCAGCAGAATGAGTGTGTGAGAGTGTTTAGTATTTTTAGAGTGGGGTTGTGTTCAGTGCACCTCACTGACCTAGTTTCGGAGGGGAGCTTTAATCGGTGCACACGGCTCTCACTCTCTCTGTCCTCATGCTAGTGTGAGCGTGTGGCATTGGCTGTATACATGAATCCAATGTGAAGATGTGGCAGTCTTTACACCATGGTCCTTTCTGAATACGATAACATTGCCTCTCTCTTCTTCACTCAATTCATCATCCCTGCTGTGATCGGAAACAAGCACCAAATGATATTATTGCACCAGAGCCACCCCAATGTTCTCTCGTTCCCGTCCGGCTAGTCATGTGACACAGATGAATAACATTACAGTATAAAGCAGTGTACCTTTCAGGATTAAAGGGGTCATATCATGAGAAACCAAGCTAAAATGAAATAGAACAATAATAATAATTTCATTTATGAATTTGTAACTTGTAAATGTAATTTTCAGAACTCAAAACACCATCTTTTGAAACTAAGCAGTAAACACGATTCCTCCTTGGATTTCTGTCATCGGAAAAACAAATAAATCAGCTATTTACATATCAACTTAACCCTGTAAACTCTGACATATGTCTAATATTTTTTTTTAAATGGAGCAGTTTATTGAAACCTTTAGAGAAAATAATTGCATATGTATAATATTTATGCAAAAATATTGCATATGTATAATATTTTATACATTAGGCGTTTTTGGCTTATATAGTATGATATAGGTCAATATGGAGCTCATACTTGGGGAGGGAAAAAAACTTGAGCCCCAAACTGAGCACAAATGACACAAAAAGACAGGTGAACCACGACCTGAAAAGGGACGTTTTAAAAATAATACTAAAAGCCCTTTTAAATGCTAAAAAAGCATGAAAGCGGGATTGAAATGGTCATGAAAAACTTTGACTTATGATAAGTGGACCCTAAGGGAACAATTATTAAAAGATATGAACCCTTAAAAACTCATTGTGAGATTAGCGCAACCTATGCGAGTTTTGTTTAATTACTGAATCTCTTGCCTGCCTCCAGGTGATCTATAAGAAGTTCCAGGTGAAATGTCCTTTTGAGGACTTTTCCCATAACAGGACGTTGGTGGGCTTTAACACAAGTATCGCGTCTGACCACGGAGGAGTGGAGATGACCCCTGAGGGTGACCCTGCCTGCACCCCTCACCTCTTTAACATGAACTCGCAGGTATGTCATTGCGTAATCTAGAATACGTATGTACTGAAATCATGCTGTGACATTCATTCAAATCATGCTGAGTCATGTGACATAAGACTTTAAGAGGAATCAAATTACACATACTGTAGTTCCCAATAATCCGTTGCATGACTCGCATATATGTGGGCTTATATGCGCATCAGTCTGGATTTTCAGCTTATGTTATGATAATATATAATGATAATATATTCACATTTCTAAAGCACAAGAATTTTGGAACCTTTGACGGAGTGTGGTTTTAAAGATTATTGCTGAGTGGTTTGCTAAATTGGGATAATATAGGAAAGAACTGGCATTTTACTACCTCTCTTTTGCTCTCTAATTGCAGGAAAGAAAAATTATAAACATTCACCAACATGAAACATTCCTAAATGAAAATTCTGTCAATGTAGTCTTAGCTCAGTACAGACTTTGTAAGACAGTATCCAAACAGGCCCAGATTTATTCCAGTATGTGGCCTATGGTCCTTTATTATTCATGTCTCGAGCATTAATGCATTTTCTGCACATACATAAGTGTCAACTCGCACATTGCCGTGTGCAGTTTTCCCACATATGTCCTTTACTGTCAGAGTGATACGTGTAAAAGTCTGTAGTCAGGAGTGTTAAGTTCAGTCTTTCTCGATGTGCACGGGACCAGCATTTTTAGTGAGTCCAGGCCTGAGCTCTGTCCAAGTCTGACTTAATCACAGCTACAATTAGCTCTCTGAAATGCGCTACAGTGTTTAATGGGCTTTAAAGTGTGGACTTTGGGTTTTATGGTTGCTGCTGTTGTATCCATGGTGACGTGGTCTGGTCTGTGTCTTTATTTTTTTTAGACGGCCTACACGGTTCCCATCCTGGCATTTGCGTTCGTGTGCCACCCCGAGGTGCTGCCAATTTACACGGAGCTGCGCAAGTAGGTGGCAAGATCTTTCACAGTTCTGGAATCAGAGATGAGTCACGGTGTGTGCATATGGAGGCTATTGCGCTGTGCACCTCTACCCATCTGCTTCGCTGTTCGGAGAGCTGTGGTGTACCAGACTGGAATTATCATATTTAAACAGATATTACAGGAATAGTATGGGTTCAATACAAGTTAAGCCCAAGCAACAACACTAGTGGCATACGTTTTTCCATCACTTTCTTATAAAAAAGCAAAAATCTGGATTACAGTGAGGCACTTAGTGAAAAGGGCCAATCTGTAAACATTAAAATACTGACTTTACTAGTAGAAATCAAGAAATTATTTTCTTATGGTAATCAACATTATGCCACAGTATTCCTTCAAGTACATACAAGTACATACTTGTTCAACATTCTATTATAAATAGACATCAAAGTGGTAGAAATAGACCATTAGTATGAATAATTATGTCTTACGACCACTTTAGAGATTTTTTAAGGAGACTGAAATGTGTCTGAAGTGTGTGTTGACTGTATACACTTTATGAACTGATATTTTGAGTTGGAGTGTGCTTAGTCTATCTGTGTTATTTGTCACATCCTTATATTTTTCTGATTTCAGCCCCACAAAGACAAAGATGCAACACGTCTCCAACATCTCCATTGCGGTCATGTACATCATGTACCTCCTGGCTGCCCTGTTTGGATATCTGACCTTCATCGGTGAGGCTGATTACCGTCATTCCCTTTTACTCAAGATAGTAGAAACTGAGTACTAAAGAGTGAAAATGTGTACCGCACTGACAACAAGAAGTGACAATTGGGGACATATTAAGTTTGGTCACATTCACTGTTGCTCATCAAAATGTCAAAGCTTGACTAGATGTAACAAAATACATTGAGTGATATGGAAATAATGACTATACAATTGAGCACCTCTTCTATTGTAGATCTTCAGCTTTGCTTTTTGCAAATTTACAAATCTCTGCCAACACAGGTCACTGCCAAACCAAGAGGCTTGCTGTTGGTTGATTAGGAAATGTCTTTGCCACCGAAAGATCATCGGGCTTCTCATTGCATTAGGCAATTCTTCATTGCACTAATTCCCAATGAAATGACTGAAATTCCCATTTCACTCATGAAATTTCATAGAGCAAAGGTAAATGTGCATTGGAGGAGTGATTACTGTATATGCCTTGATTTAGCTGCGAGGCCATTGCTAAGGCTTAAGCTATAGCATCAGTGAGAACGTGTTAAACAGAGTTTTGGTAATTATATAGTTCTAAAAATCATTCTAAATATAAAAGAAATAGCTGAGTCCACACCACAACTATAACGATTACATACATTTTTGTTCCAGCTAATGAACAATAAAAACACTGACAGCCAATCAGAATCCATCCTTCTTTTAAAGAGCTCAAGCATTTAAAGCGGCAGACGAAAATGTCAGTCCGCACTTATAATAAACAGAACGATATCGTCCGTTGGTGTGGACGCTAATATAGTTATCATTATAGTTATCGTTCTTGGTGTGAAGGGCCTTTATTGTGTTGACAAAGAGTTAGATGTAGCAGATATGAAAGGAAAAGAATGCATTGGACTATTTTAAACCAGACGGAGTATCTTAAAATGTTTAAAATTAGTCAGAGGCATGTGTACACAAACCAAAAATGTAAATAAATAAAAAACGCTGCAGATGGATGTAAAAACATGCCCTGTGTGAACTTCCTCTAAGAATACCAATAGAAATGCAGATATTGTGCCAGTAAAGAGGCATTAAGCCTAACTGTTTCCAAGTCTCCAAAAGTTAGATAACAGAAGCCTCTGTCGACTGTATTGCAGATAACATTCAGAGTTGGATGTGCTAGGATGGCTAATACAGAATGAATCAAACATCTAGGGGCAGGGGTGAAGAGCAAGGCAAAATTGTTATATGTACAGGGCATGAAGCAGCAGGGATGGGTAGTTGCCACAGTCATTAAAGGTCATTTGGTCATCCGGGACAGCTCCCTACCTTTTTACACATCAGGAGACAACAGTGTGACTCAGACGAGATGGAGAGAGTGGAGGAGGTTTTGTTAAGGAGAAAGAGGCGGTGAGACCTGTCAAGATGGATGTGCTGAGTGGTCATTCAAGTTGAGATGTCAGAGTCTGAGTGCGATCAGTGTGACTGCAGTGGTAAAGAGGAAGAGTGTATTTTCTTATTTTACGCACAAGATATTCACCCTCATGTTCCAGAGCTTTTGAAGTACACGAGAAGATTGAGACCTGCTCAGCTAAAGTATCAGCATGTTCATGTGTTGATGTCACAGATCTAATCATCTGATTCAACAAATCTGTGTTAGATGCATGATCATGTTGGTAAAGTGTTAGCACTCCATCTAGTGGCCATTGTGCATTAATGAAAACCATTACCAATGTGCGCTGGAAAAGAGTAATGCAATGGTTCTCAAACTGAGGTCTGAGAGTTGATTTAGTGATTAAAAATTGACATAAACCTTTTGGAACGATTTTTAAAATGGTTTTGAAAAAAGTCTTATACTCACCAAGGCTGTATTTTTTTTTCAATCAAAAATACAGTAAAATTGTAATATTGTGCAATATATTACAATTTTAAAACTTTTTAAAATATATTTTATAATGTAATGTATTCCTGTGATGGCAAAGCTTAATTTTCAGCATCATTACCCCAGTCTTCAGTGTCACATGATTGTTGCTCAAGAAACATTTCAATGTTGAAAAAAAGTTGTGCAGCTTAATATTTTTGTGGAAACCGCGATACATTTTTTCAGTATTCTTTGATGAACAGCATTCATTTAACAATTTTTTGTAACAATGTCAAAGTCTTTTGATCAATTTAATGTATCCTTGCTGAATATAGTATTATTATATAAATGAAGTATTAACTTCTTTCAAAATATAAAAAGTTTTCTGACCACAAACTTTTGAACATTACTGAAAATATATAAAATAATTTTAGATGACAAAAAGTCCCTAGATTGAACGAATCAACTAATTTATCAACAAATAATAATGAGTTAAATCATTTGTATTAACATTCATTTGTGATTAAATCTTTCTGTTTTTCCATTCAGTAAGTCATTCAATTTGATCCAACTTCTTAGCTAGCAAATATCCGGCTCATTTAGGTTCAATACCTAAAAGTAGCAGTCTCTTTAATCTCAATATTTATTAAGTCTTTTAGTTTTTAGGTGCTTCACAATGTTTGTTTTTCTGTTGAAATGGTCCACCACCTGAAAAAGTGAGAACTACTGATCTAAAGCAGTGAGGAATGCAACATCATTTTGATTATTGTTGAATAAACCTTTTTAGATTTTTTTATTTTAAATACAAATGATTTTATTTGTGTGTAGATAAAGTGGAAGCCGAGCTGTTGCACACCTACAGTCGAATTGACCCGTATGACACACTCATCCTGTGCGTTCGTCTAGCTGTGCTGACTGCCGTCACACTCACTGTACCCATCGTGCTGTTTCCTGTGAGTATTACACACTTACACACACACACATAAACTTTACAATTTTAAAAAGACTTCATCTTATCCAGTTACAACTTTGTTGTGGAGTCAGGATTGGATGACAGGCAGTATTTCAGTATCTGATTTCAATGCTTTGTTATTTCATGTCTTTTCTCAGGTAAGGAGAGCAATTCAGCAGATGTTCTTCGCAAATAAAACTTTCTGGTGGCCACGTCACATTGCCATAGCTGTCTGCCTCCTCACCCTCATCAACTTACTGGTCATCTTCGCCCCAAACATCCTGGGCATCTTCGGGATCATCGGTAGGTTTGGTGCTCTCGGCTCTTGAGTGATGTTGGATTCTTTCGTTCTTTTGAAGTTCCATTAGTGTGAAAAGAGCGTGAGAGCTGCGTACTGTTCCATGGCAACCTCAAGGACCTCACATTCGCTTTTATCAGCACATGCATTCAAGTTTCAGACTATAATACTGTACGCACAGTGCCAGTCGTGCATAAATCCCCACCAGCATTATTAATCGCCTTTGGAATGTGTATATAATTATCAACAAAGTCCCATTATGCTTTCCCTTTATTACAGTACATGATAGTTTCTCCTGATTTCACACTTAACTCGATAACACCAATTGTTTCTCCACTTCATGTGAGTTTTACCTACCTCAGAGAAGAATGGACACTATTGTTATGTAATTGTCCTTAAATGACTAAGACTTAACTTGAACTGCTTTAACTAAAGATTTTCTGACACTGTTATGACTTATTTCTGAGGGATGAATCATGTTAGTGAAGGTTTAGGTTTACATTTAGTAAGTAAGTGTCTACATGTGTTTATTTGTTCCACAGGTGCCACATCCGCGCCGTGCCTCATCTTTATATTTCCTGCTGTGTTTTACATCCGCATTGTTCCCGAGGAAGATGAACCCATGCGCTCACCGCCGAAAATCCTTGTAAGTACTTGCAGACGTACTGTATTCGGTTTCCCCCCATTCATCCAAAGTGGGATCTGGTTTCTTGCCTCTTGTAGGAATGTTGATGCTTTGAAACCTTTCACACTTTTAGACTGAGATTCTCTGAAAACTAATCATTCTAAGTGCTTTGTAAATCCCTCGGGTAAATCTTTGGTGTGACGCAAACTATTGAAAACTTGTAAACTAGTTCACCTCAAGTTACAGCAAACTGCAGGAATTAGTTCCTGGAGAAATTCTGAGAAATGTCCAGGTTATATTTAACCCCTTTGACCCGAAGAAAAACTGTATTCCGAATATATATTTAAAATGAAAGCCTTTTTTAGGGCTGTTAAGATATATATATTTTTTTTGCATTGTGAGATTGTTTTTCATGACAATCGCACATTTCCCCCCTCAATTCTCATTGTTGTGTTTTTTTTTTGTTATATTTAAAATTGCGTTGAAATTTGCGGTGAAAGTATGAAAAATGTTTTATTTATGGAAACACAAATGAGTCAATGCTCGTCCCTGTGATTTCTTGCTCCGCACATAAAGAAGAGAGAGACATTTCTGATAAACTTTTAAATACATCATTAACAACTTTGTTCAGTTCGGTTCCGTAAAGACTGCGTAGAATTTTTGTAAATGCGGTTGTCACTACGCTGCATTTTCAGGAGTTAATTCGGTTGTAGAATGCGATTGTCACTCCCGTAAATAATTGAACTGTGTTTGTACAGAACAGGATTAAGCCCTAAAAGGTGAATGACTACTGAATTTAGCCGCAGTGTGTACGTGGCCAATGTGTTTAATTTTAAAATCATAAACATGAAAGTGGCACGATACAAAAGTAAATCTTAATGTTCAAAAAATTTGCTTTGGTTTGGATGCTAAAAAATATATTTTTATTTTATTTTGACCCAGACATTTCTTCAGAATATGCACCCAATCAAATTTTAGACTGCATATTTAGATTACATCGCAGTGGTAATAATCTTGCCTCTCTTCTTTTTGTTATAGGCTGCTTGCTTCGCCATTTTAGGAGTCTTATTTATGATAATGAGCCTGAGCTTCATCATCATTGATTGGACGTCAGGGAGCAGCAAAGGAAACAGTGGTCATTAGACCTCATCCTCTAATGGTTAATGCTTTTTCATTTTATTTTCGGGTCAGTAGTTGGGGAGGATGCAGAATCTCTCACTAGATCAGTCAGTGATCAGTCACTAGATTCCTAGCTTTAGTTGCATTCAATCAATGCATTATTTGGCCTTGTGACCTGCATGTGCTGTAAATGGGGTGTTGACCCATCTCAGGCCGGCATTAATTCCATTTAAAGTCATGAAAGGGCATGTAAATATTAATTTTAAAGCTTGATATGTGGGGAGAAGATGACCAGAACTAGAAAATCAAAAGCCCATAATAGTCAGTATGTGCTATAGTAACAGCACATGCAGTATGCAGGGTTTGCAAACTAAAGGGATTTTGCATTCTAACCAAACGGACTCATCAGCTGGTCCAACCTCCCATCCATCCCTCAATATCATGACCTTTCACCTTTACCCCTTGGCCATATTCACAAGAGATTAGAATCACAGAAAGTGCTCAGTTCTGATGGGAGGATTGGTGGTTATTAAAGTGTTTATTTGATCATATCTCATGTTAGAAATAGCAATACTCTGTGCAAAAGCTGTGAGATATCTGACACTGAAGGCTGTTGAGAGGCAACACACGACCTCATCCAGAATCCAGACTCGATTTGGCTGCAGTCTATTACACAATTTCAAATTTATGCAAATTGTACGTATAGAACAGATGTACATGTCACATTTTTATATGGATTTATAATGTTTATCCTTTCTACAATATTTAGAGACAAATTTATTAGCAGGTATATGAGCATACATATATATGATATAGAAAATAGAAGAGTATTCCAATTCATCTGGTCCTCTCAAGGATATCTATCACATCCCTTTACAATTTAACTATTCAGCTTAAATGCCATCTTTAAAAGATTCAGATCTAAAAAAATTATGGTGAAAGGCACGTTTTGAATATTTTAATGAATACTGCTGGTTGCAATGGGAAAGCACAGATTGGAAAGCACAGTTAATCATAGGGTCAGTATGTAATGGTCCCATGAGTCCTATACTGACAGACTGATTTTAAAAGACTCTCTGGATTTATATGCAGAGAAAAACAAAAAAACAAAAAAACAAAAACATTCACAGGGTCTTCTCCTTGATTGGAGAAACAAATATTGTGCATTGGTGCGCATAAACGTTTTAGTTCCAGGGCAAATGGCGTACATGTGGTAAATGTTGCTCAGTGGAAAGCTGATCGTATTAAAGTTTTGCTTCTAGTTATGCTATTAACCGAACCAGTCGGATGATTTCGGAGATCGGTTCCCGATCACAAGGTCATTTGGCGATTATTGAAAGAAACCTTAAACTGTAGCACTTTCATTTGAAGCACAACTTCCGCTCAATCTCTTGACCTAGTGACCCAGTTACAACTTAATCATGACATCGTGACAGTTTGACATAATCATAGATTAATAATATATTTTGTAGACAGATATATGAACAAAGCATATGTATTACTAACTGTAAATTGTTTGAAGAAGAAAAAACAAGTAATGTGTGGATGTTTAACATGGTACATCATGAATATTTTAATCTTTGTAATTGAAACTCGTCATCCTAAAATACTATAAATCAAGCACTTACTGGCCCATAATGATCTAAGTGGTAACACTGTGGTGTTTCATTGTGTGTGAATGTGTGCGTTCTCTCCTCTTTATGCTTACGGAGAAAGAATATTTCAGTCAGTGAATGTACTGTAATGGACTGTCTAAATGAGATGTGCATTTAAATTGTGGTACTTTTTAATTCATTTTGTCTGTTTAATTAATGTTTAATGGATAGGCCAGCCACACATATAAATAAATCATCATATCTGTGAACCAGTATCAGCATAATTACATATCTCGATATCTTCTTTCAGTGTTTTAAATGTTTCTGGTGCTGCATCAAGGGCCTGTCTGACAGCAAAGGCACTGTAATATATTCCAAATTACAATCCTTACTTACTTTTCCAGGCTGAAAAAAAAACAACAAAACAAAACATCCTTGTTTATCATGGTCGGATGCTTCATTACTTCATTTCCCTCTTTGTGCTGTTTTGGATTACACAGATAAATTATTTACTGATTAAATATGTGTATGATTTCTGAAGTGCATCAGTGAAATAACCCATTGAGATCATGGTTAATTGTTTGGTAAAGAAGCGTTTAATTGTGTGTTTTGGTGATGGTGACATGTTGTCTGTAGTGGTGTAATGCCTGACACACCAATGTGGTTTCTCAAGCACAAAAGTGTCCCATTGTTTTACCAGTGTATGTTAATGTGTGTTTACAAGCCTGAGAACTAAATGTGCCAGTTGTTAAAGAATTGCCAGTATCTGTCCTTATCTAATGACTCAAAATGATTCCTGATCGCTGAACATGAGTTTGAAACAAAGTATCATTTCACTCCAAAATCACACACACATATATATATATAGAATTTCTTCTGAATTTGGAGTGAAATTTCATAGTGTAATATTGACTTCATGATGATGCTGAGTATTTCTCTCTGATGTATCCACTTCATAAATGACTGATTTTATGATGAAGGTAGCTAGCCAGTTAGATCTTATTAACTTACTATCATATAGCACAAACTAGAAGTTTTTAGCATCGATGATGAATCATGCATACATACTTTTCCCTTTAGAAGTACAATCTGTGATTGCTGCAACTATAACATTAGCAGCGGTGCAGCAGAAACTACCCTGACCAACAAGATCCCCCATAATGCTGTGCTTCCATCCCCAGACTTTCACACACACCGCTTTTGTAGCTTCCGAGCTGACGCCTGGGCTGACAGCAGCACTTTTTAAGCACCTGCAGATTGTATGATCTCCAAATCTGCAATGATTCACAAAGTAGCAGAAGGGGGAAGCATTTAATTGTCTTTTTAGCAGTTGTGTACTTGTGTCCAGTCAGCGTGATGTTTCCCTTGTGATGTAATGAATGTGTCATCTGTTTGTAACAGTTTATATGAATTCATTACTTACATGGCAGCATTTATAAATAATGTACATAAATGTAAACCCTTTATATTATAAGCACATCTATAGTTTATATATTGTAAATAGTCGGATGATGTTTAGTCGATGATTAAAACGTAATTTTTAAAAATGCTTTTTAAAAAGCCAGTTTATGTCTTTATTTTCTTTATTCTCAGTATTGAGTACATTGCTGGCATTTAATGTACTGTAAACAATGTTAAAATAAAAAAAGAATAAATAATATTCATACTTTCTTGGTTCAGTCTTCACAGGTGTTTTTCTCATATTCATGTGAGTGTTGATATGATGTCTCTGTGGCTCATTGAACGTGTACAATAAATAAATGCTCTTTCGTTTAGCAGATCTATATCTAAAACAACCTACATACACTAATTGCAGGTTGAGTCACAGTTCTCTGAAAGCAGATATGACATCTCAAGTTCCTGGGATCAAACCTGCAGATTTTTTTTTCTTCCACCACCACTCTTGTACTTTTCCTTCTCGCTGATTGTCCTCTTAAGTCTAAAGCTGTTGATGTCAAAACAGAATCTTGCCTTGAAGCAGCAGTTTCCTGAAAACGTTCGCACGATGTGTTTAACATTTGGTTAAAAAATTTGTTACAAAAACACATCAAATCTGACACATAGAATTCCAAAAATTTACTCAGTTATATGTATAATGTAATCACCGCAATAGTTTTGATCTATTTATTCCAGTTTTGTTTCCAAAAGCTGTTTACCTGAATGTGCAACCTGAATCCATAAAGACACCAAGAAAATGTAATTACTTTTCCCACAAGGAAATGATGCCATTGTACTTTTAACTGTTTTGTTTATATGCAGAAGTTTAGCAGTAAGAGAAGCTAGGACAAGCTAACATTAGCTTGGAGAAGAAACGAGCAGTTTCAGCTTTAAAACTCAACAATCAAATAATCAATCGATCAATAATATACTTTAACGGTTTAATTAAACAATATACGGAAATTACATAGGAAACTTAGAAAATTCGATCTTGGGCTGGTCTCTAATGTACAATATAGTGTGAATGTATATAATTTCAGACACATGGGGGCGGTATGAAACACAGACAGCTCTATCTCTCTGTCGTGATGCTGTTTGCTTTGGCCAAACGATGGAAACACACTCCATATGGAAAAATCATTGCGAGCATTTACTTTGAACAAGGTTTCATCTCCTGCCTAAGCACAACTCATACAGAACACATACAGCAATCAGTGCGTCAATATTGACATACGTCTCAACAAAAGAGATTTCTTACAGAGGCTCTAATCTAAAGAATGCCATTTGTCATTGAACAGCAAACAAGAGAAAGCCAGCTACTATACCCATCACACTGGCAATTTTGTCAAAAGAAACATCCAACAAATAGTTACTCGTAAATAGTAATTTTGCTTATTTATTTAAAATTTGCACATTTGGCAGATCTTTTATCCAAACAACTTAGCAAATACTTTATCAGTTCATTTATTCCCTGAATCAAACCCCGGCTTTGGCATTGCTATCGCCATGCTCTACTGCTTGAGCTAAATAAACAAACAAATACAATTATTATTTACATGTACGCATTTGGCAGATGCTATTTTCCTAACTTTTCATAAACTTGATCAGTTCATGCATTAAATAAATAAATACCACATTTAAAAAGAATGTTTAAATTCATTTTTGGTTTGGTTACATTTCTGACTCTATAATTTAAAATCCACACCATTGAATGTAAATATTTTCTGTAGAAAGAAAATTCTGTCATTAATTACTCATCCTTATTTCGTTCCAAACCTGTCAGACTTTCGTTCATCTTCTGAACACAAATGAAGATCTTTTTCATGAAATCTGAGAGCTTCCTGTCCCTCTGTTGACAGCTACACTACCACTTTGACGCTTCAAAAAGTTCATAAAGAGATCGTAAAACTAATGGAGTGGTTTATTCAAACTTTTCTGAAGAGACATGATCACTTTATGATGAACAGATTGAATGTATGCTTTTATTCACATATTAGCATTCATCAACGTACACATCAGATCTGGTAAACGGAAGCTCAAGCATGTTTGTTTGACGTACGAAAACCAATGAGGTTCATTCTCGTGTTACGCAGCACATTTGAGCTTCAGCAAGAACCAATGAGGTTCATTCTCGTGTTACGCAGCACATTTGAGCTTCAGCAAGAACCAATGAGGTTCATTCTCGTGTTACGCAGCACATTTGAGCTTCAGCAAGAACCAATGAGGTTCATTCTCGTGTTACGCAGCACATTTGAGCTTCAGCAAGAACCAATGAGGTTCATTCTCGTGTTACGCAGCACGTTTGAGCTTTAGCAAGAACCAATGAGGTTCATTCTCGTGTTACGCAGCACGTTTGAGCTTCAGCAAGAACCAATGAGGTTCATTCTCGTGTTACGCAGCACATTTGAGCTTCAGCAAGAACCAATGAGGTTCATTCTCGTGTTACGCAGCACGTTTGAGCTTCAGCAAGAACCAATGAGGTTCATTCTCATGTTACGCAGCACGTTTCAGCTTCAGCAAGAACCAATGAGGTTCATTCTCGTGTTACGCAGCACGTTTGAGTTTCAGCAAGAACCAATGAGGTTCATTCTCGTGTTACGCAGCACGTTTGAGCTTCTGCAGAATGAGGTTTGTTCTCGCGCATCAAGCAGATTTGGTTGAGCTTCTGTTTATGTTTGCTGACCAATGTTTATATGTTAACAAAAGCCTGTTCATCATATAAAGTGATCAAGTCTCTTCAGAAAATTTGGACTAAACTGCTCAGTTCATATGGGTTAGTATTACAATCTATTTATGGACCCTTTTAAGCATCAAAGTGGAAGTTTTCGTAGCTGTCAATGGAAGGACAAAAAGCTCTCAGATTTCATCAAAAAGATCTTCATTTGTGTTCAGAAGATGAACGAAAGTCTGACAGGTTTGGAATGACATGGGGATGAGTAATTAATGATAGATTTTTCATTTTTAGGTGAACTTTCCTTTTAATTGTGAAATTTACTAGCTGATTTTTTTTTTTTGTGTGTGTGTACTGCGGGAAAACTTCATTTCCCATGAGCACCCGCGGTGGGCGTATCCGCGAGGGGCTGGCTGGCAATGCGCGAGGAACCCAACAGTTCTAAACTGTCTTCTGCTGTGTGGCAGAGAGCAACTTCTCAGCAGACTGGGGTGTGGCGGCTTTGAGAACACTGAACGAAATCAGAGACCGTTCAACGTTAGCTGCCTAACGGCGCATATTATTCAAAACCATCGGCGATCACTGAAAGGACTAACGTTAACCGAGGAAAACACCGGGATTTTTGCATTTTCTGATTCATTCAGTTTCGCCGAGTTGTCTTATCGATCGGCTTCCTTTTATATACATGAGCACAAGGGGTTGATCTCAACTTTTTTTGCTAACTTTTTTTTTGGATATGTGGATATAAGTTTTTTTTCCCTCCCTATTCGCGTGATGTAAAACTCCAGCGTCTGGCTACTTGGTTTCTCCTGGGAGCCTTAAACGTCAACAATTTCCAGGTGTTGCTCTGATCTCAGTCAAATATAACGTTATAAATTATATCTTTCTCCCAACCCCCCAGACGTCTTTTGAAAGATTATTCGGGCGCATAAAAACATCAGTTTTGGATCTACTAGTGTCTTAAGGACATTTCCTTTCCCTGGCAGTTTTTTTTTCAAAGCCAAAAGAGGAAGTTAGTCACGGAAGACTATTTAAAAAACACAGTCGCTTTAAAAGGGTAATACCTTTTATTTTTTTCTCCTAAATCTATACTCATAAATCCGTAGCCCTGAAGCGCGCATTCGGAACCATGGGCTGTACCGTGAGCCAGGAAGATAAAGCCGCGGCCGAGCGATCCAAAATGATTGACAGGAATCTGCGCGAGGACGGCGAGAAAGCCGCCAAAGAAGTGAAGCTGCTGCTGTTGGGTGAGTGACGAATTACAGATAACGGTCAGCAATCGTTGATGTAACACACATCAGATTTGTAAGCACTTTGTCACATTAGTAAGTGTCAATAGGATTCAAGAACTTCTTTTAAACGTGTTTGAGACGGAAAGGGAGATATAGGCTACTTACAGAGTTTGAGGGCAGGTTTCTAGGTAATGTAACGTTATGTGTGTCAAGTTTCCTCCTCAGGTGTGGCCTGCAAGAAACTGTCAACGGATTTGAAGAAAATGTCAACTACGATAGAGCAAGCGTTTACGTGTTTAGCGATTTAAATGTTACATGCTTTTATAATTCTTGTATTTAAGTTATTATTGTCCCCCCCCCCCCCCCCCCCCAAATTATGACCTGAGTCATTTACAAAATTGATTGTGCTAAACTTGTCATTTGAAAAGCTTAGTTTCCCAACTGTGTGATGAACACCATGAAGAAATGATGACTGTCGTTTTTGGCACTCAACAAATTGGTATTATTTCCTCACAAGATTACTCTACCAGTTAAAGGTTTATACACACATCTACTCTTTCTGTAGTAATTATTTCCCAAATAGTAAAAGGCATCAAAACTGTGTTTGACTGAAAAAAGAAAGTCATATACACCTAGGATAGAGTGAGTAAATTACGGTATAATTTTCATTTTTGGGTGAACTAACCCTTTAAATGCCACAAATGTTTCTATATCTGACCCAAATCATCCATTGTAAGGATGAAAATTAGATCAATAAGTTATAAAAGACCCTGAGAAACAAATTCACTGTAGTGTTTCTACATTTTTTTGACTGGTAGTGTATGTGTGAAACTTTCCCAATCACAGAAAAACAGAAGTATACGTCAAAGATTTGGAAACTGGTTATTTCAGTGTGACTGAGGGGAGAGGTTGAGGGAATGTTTTGACAGTGCCTGTGATCACTCTCAACATCCCTTGTGGTGCAGCATGGCCACACACACTCACACTCAGCATGCACTTTGGCCTGGTCCGAACTGTGTTTTGACAGAAATGCAGGAATTCTGTGGGGGGATGTTTTTGGTAGGCTTCAAGCCCAAACAGAAGCCTGGAACATGCACCCTGAACCAAAGAAAGTGTTGAAAGTACATTTTTGGCAGGGGTTGTGTATTGTACTGCTTTGTGTGTTTGCTAAGGATTCTTGCTGGGAAATGAAATACTTGGTGTGGAGCTTTTTATTGTGCGTTCTAAAGCCTTTTGAATTTTACTTTATGAACTCAGAAAATGTTGAGTTAAAAAATATATGCGAGGGAGACAACGTTGTGAACAGCAGTTTTTGGATTTGCGCAGTCATTTTGTATGTTTTCTTCGCTCTCACATTTCATATGTCAAACAAAACCTGTTAGTTATCTTACATGATGGTGTTTTTCCCTCAAACACCAGCAAGTTGGATTTCAAGCAGTGTCCAAAATTATCTCTTAGTGGAGGGTGAATTTAAAAAGTACGAAATACGAATATTTCTTGGGCATTAAGCTTGCCAATTGTCTGAATCATTTTAGTGTATTTTTATCCCTTCGAAAATTGAATTATTTTGTTATTCCTTTCATATGTAAACACTTACAGTATCATATACAAGATGAGCCATTTTCCATGCCAGTCACAAAAACCTGAAAACACATTTTCATTCTGTTCCTTAATTTTGTTTTGTTTTGTATCTTTATGTGAGAAATATTCCACAAATGTGCTATGGAGAAATTTAATCTTTAGGTATCATAGATAAAATGTATGATGGTAACATTCTCGCTGAGTTTTTCCAATTCAACTTTTAATCTGAGTAATAAAATTTGGACCCTAATTTTAAGCTTTCTATTCTGAGTCAGTTTTCTTGTCAGTCTGCAGGACACCTACCTACCTACTCAGTTAAGTAACCATGAACAGTCCTAATAATGTTTCCCCTGTCAGTTACTACATTTAATTGTAGTTCTCAGTGGGCTGTGCTTTAATAGCAGATCTGGAGAGTAAACACTAGGTTAGGGATTTGAGTCACTGTCTGAGGAGGTTTAAATGACACACGTATAGACAAGTTACTTCCCACTTTAAAAGTAACGAGTTACAACATTGAACAGAATTTTACATACCGGTACTAGTTTTTTGGGCACATACAATCTTATTCCCTAGAATCTCCTCCAGTTTCTCAAAATGATTGCGTTTTAATCCCAAAACTTCTTCTAATGCCAGGAATAGACCTCTGGTTTGGAAAAGTTGGTTGAGTTTGGAAAAGACGTGGTCAGTCTCACACGGGCCGATGTCTCAACCTCTGTTCCACTCCTCTGGTCTTTCCAAAGTTAAACTTTTGGTTCAGAGGGGAGTGTTGCATGGCTTGGATGGATGATGGACTATTTTTAGCTTGAGGCAGATGTAGGGAAAAGTTGTATTTCCAGGCTCCCTGAGCTCTGAGTTAAGGCCTTTAACTTTACCTCCCCTGAACGTCTTTCTGAAACTCCGTTAACAATAAAATTGTGCAGACTTTTCTTTGTTTTTTGATCCTTTTAATTCCAGGAATGATTCTTTAGCTGGGCTTACCCTTTAAGTTTTCTGAACTTTGATCAAATTTAATCTTCCACAGTGAATTCCAGCACATGGCTCTGTTTATTTATTCTAGTCCTGGATTGTTCTAACTGCCGTTGTTTTCTGCTTTTACTGGCAGAGGGAAATATTCATTTGTGCCATTGGACTCATCATCTTCGATGCACAGACAAGTCTGAACATCTCCAGACCTTTGGTTGCAGCATGGAGTGTACATGAAATTTTTACTCTGTTCTTATTGGGTTAAATGCGTGAAAAGTCATGTAAAAGGAATAATATTTCATGTTTAAATGATTTTGATGAATTATTTCTGGAGTCCCTGCGCTGTAATTTTACTTCTATCAAATTGCAAAAGAACACAGTCAAGCATGCATCTGCATCTGTGATGCTTCCCTGATCCCATTTAACAGGTTTGACAGAACCTGTTTAACTGATGCGGTCTTTCGCCTCTTTGCTTTAGCCACCGGGCTTAATAGCGTTGATGGTGATAAATAGAGCGAGGATAACTCCCAGAACACAATCGCTCATCCTGTGTGCTGTTTTGTTTTCACACTCTTACTGTACTGACTGATAAATGCCGACAGGCTTTTGGCAAAAGGCCCCAAAACAAACAAACAGACACAAAAAAACCTATTAAGCCCTTTTGGGCTGGAAAGATGACTGCAAACTGGCACTGTTACTGTCTCCTGTCAGCATGGCTGTAATGGTCCTTCACCACATGGAAATCACGCTTTGCATTTACACGCCTTATTTGCCTTCTCTGTTGATCGCTTAGTGGAAAAAGCCGGCCGGTCTGTATAGGGTTCCCGCTGTAAAGCTGTCACGGGTCTAAAGGCAGGTTAAAAGCATCTGGCCCCAGATGATGTGCTTATTAGTTGCAAGAATGAGCTGATTTATTATGTTTGGTGCTGGTGTATAGGCCTAGTTATAATGTAGGTTTGAAGGCCTCCACTATGATTATAGTCTGAGGTAATAGCAGGCTGTGTGGATATGTGTGTGTGTGATCTCTTACTGCTACTGACAAGGCTGTGTCTGGTTCTTTTTTCTGCATTTTTAGTAATGGTGCACGGAATGCCCTGCTTTTCCTCTCGGCAGAAGATATTGTGAGGGGTATTGGGTTTTAGTAGGTTGTTTGTTTACTTTGGTCTCTAGCATTTGCTTTCAGGGTTTATATCTGTCTTTTGGCAGATCTCTTATGTGGTCTGCTGATAGGGTGACCAGATGATTATGATTAAAAAAAAATCATGACACATAGGGGGCGTGGCCTGGTCAGTAGAGCGCTTCTGGTAGACCTGATTTTGAATCCTGCCTGGTGTGATTCAAGCTAAAGAACAGAAAGTACATTTAAAGAAACATTGTTTTTTTGAAAATGGCTTGATAGATCTGATTTTTTGATGCTGCAGTGAGTTGATACGCATGACAAAGTTACAGATTTGTTGTTCTGAAATCATCTTGAGATTTTTTTCATCAAAGATTGAGTAGTTTGTTATAATAAAATGTGTGCAAAATATGCACACCAAGCAACAGATGTAGTTCTTTGGGTATTTTATGTACAGTAAGTAGGCTTTCATGTATTTTATATGGGTCTGATATTTAATATTTATTGGTCTGGTCACTATCCACCAAAGACATGGAAGGACCACAGTTAGATCAAATCACTAGATTAAACTTAGACTCAAGACAAACCATGTACAGAATTTGGAAAATGTTCCCTACCTGCTGTGCTCTTGTTAATTTTGGGTTTGGAAGTAGTTGAATATTAAGCTATTCTAATGTGAAAAATGGCCTTATAATCTTGCCAGTTTGCATGCTCTGATGAACAGTGCATATCAGACTGATGAAATCAAACTGCGTCTGTCCTCAAAAGGTTTTTTATGTCAGGCAAGCCCAATGATCCGTCACGATGTTCTCAAGTATTTCCTCAAAGCAAGGTCAGAATGCTCATTGAGTCCTTTAACTCCAGAATTGTTTTTTCTCCGACACAGTGGCTATGTTACAACTTTTGTGTCAATTGGACACTGGCAGAACTCATTCCGATTGATGAATATGAATGTAGTGTTTACATGAACGCTAAACATGAGATCAGGTTGATGTGTGCGTTGATGTCACAAGCTTCAAATAGGAATAGATTTTTTGACATGCGCAAACTGCACGAATATGAGTTTCCTGCTGTTTGCGCATAATAACTATTCTCCTACATTGGTTCTTTATTTGTTTTAAACAGCAGATTTAATATGCATTTCTGGTCATAATTTGGAGACAATGAGCAAATGAACCGTTGTGCCGTGCTGCTTAAAATTTATCACGCAGTAAAAATGCCCCTTCCCTGCGCCCAAAACCAGTTTGCTGTGGATGAGATTCCGAAACAAGGACTGGTGGGACGTTGTCCTCCACTTCACAGACGCTGAGAGAAAGGAGAATTTTAGAATGACGGGACACTCATTTATATGACA